GAAGGGGCGAGTACGAGGTGTAAATGGTTGACCGAATAGCTGATCGGTGGTTGCTTAGGCATTCAAGAATAAATGCGTTAATGGGGAAGGAAGATTAATGTTAAAAAAATGGTGAAACTGTGGCACCAAGCATCCTCAGACGTGTGAAATATAATATAATATACTGAACACGCATCTTTAAGATATGTGATAGTACATCCTCCTGCACGACTACCAGATGGGAAGGATTCCACTGTTGGCTCTAGTCGTGTTCTCTCTTTCGCGTTGTTGTTGGGGGTTCAATGAGAGGCACCCGATGTCTAGACAGAAAATAACACTAACTTCAGGGCCGAGGCAAACGAGATGAGACGGTGCTTATTTGGATCACAAGGTGTCTCACTTAAGGAAGTATTACAACAGCAAGAAAACAGGCTAAGAGAAAATTTAAAACGGATGACAGGGACAAGCTCTGACGCACAGGTCTCGAACACGACAGGTGGAATGTCATTGGGGTCCAGTGTTTTAGATGAGGCCAGCGAACGCGGTGCTAGGGATATATTTCTGGTTGTGATCTCGGTACCAAAGGAGGGATTATAATGAGTGAGGGGATAAAGGCGGATAGAGTTACGGTCGATTTTAGAGAAACAGGACCATAGACTGCATTGAAAGAAGCGTTTCGAACTGGAGAAAAGACGAAAGACAAAGATACAGGAAAATGCTGTGGCAAAAAATCAGAACGACTGGCTGCCTGGGGAATAGCAAGGTGGGTTTGATAGCCACAGGATGAACTAATGTGTTTTGAACATTCTGGATGGCTGCGCAGCTCGCACGTTTGGAAAACTGAAACTACAGCTTGCACATAGCGGTGATGAGAAGAGGGATTGGAAATCTTTCCTTTTTGTACCGACTGCGCGGCAACAAACATTTTTAAATCAGTCAAGTGTGTTGTTACCCGGGTTTAGAAAAATAGGTAATAAACACAAGCATGCCTTGGAGAATACTCTTCACAGCATTCACGACTGAAGTAAGCGGATTGGGAGTATAAATTAGTAGCAGGGGTAGGATGCCAGGAAGTTGTAGAAGCCACTCCAGTCAAAAGAGTTGTAAGGTCCGAATGGGCGGGGAGAATAAAATGCTTGGATTACAGATGAAGTAATCAGAGAAGAGTCCGGTGAACTAAGACGAGGAGATCGGTCCGAGAAAACAGAGAGAGATGGTGTGGACGCATTCTTCTGTACGATCGGAAACACGGGTGGGGAAAGTGACCGATTGTGACAGGTTGTTTACAACGGTCTGTTTCAAAGAATCGCTTAGAATGATTATGTGGGTGTTGGAGTCCGATCGCACAGCGAAAGATTAGGCGGAACAGTTACAGTTGTGGGAACAGCGATAAAGAATGTCAATGTAGTGATTCTCAGACGGATTACGAAGCCTCAGGTAACAGGAACTGAAATTCGTGAGTGAGTGAAAACATTACGATTAGATGGACGGGTGAGTGAGTGGTGCTGAACGGTGAACAAACACACAAACACCAGCTTTGAATAAAAACGGATGAGTAAGGTGTATGGTGTGGAAACAAATGTGGAAGAAAGCGTAAAAAGATTTCTGACTTTCGGGAAAGAAAAGAACAAGAGAGAAACTGAATTGCAAGTAGTGTCGCATGGAAACCTATCTGGTGACATGCGTAACACATGTCCCAACCACCGTAATCTATGGAGGTCAACCACTTGCTCCAATGGGCGACCACATTTACCTAAAACTCTGTGCCTAACCTCAGCACTGCTCGTCCGGCTGACCCACCAGATTCGTGCAATGCTGTGTAGACAGCGGTGTTCGAACACCGACAGTCTATCTTTATCCTGTTTCCTTATATCCCCGTTGACTGAACAGTGATGGCACAGATTCATTCATTCAACGAACACCTTCTGCAATCCCCATTTTTGTGAACTTCTCCCAATTTCAGCTTGATGCCTGCCATCTTAATACAAGCTAGTACAAACACGGCGTTCCTTGAACACGTTACAGGCCTCACAGGGCTGAATCAATAGCAAAATGTATAAAGGTTACTCCAGTTTTTTGTTGTTCTAGGTAAGAAGATTAACACATTCACTTATGGCAGGTGTGAGCTAAAAAACCGTAGGAGATCAGAGGACCGCACTGAGACCAAGCTATGCAAAAAAATCGTTCGATTGTAAGGGAAAACTTCGGGTCTAAGTAGGCTGCAGGACATTGTTAGTTTGGGAAAAACCACAGTAGTTGAGGCTGCAGCTCACCAAAACCTTCCCGTTTCCGGGCAATATCGAGGTCTTTTTGCAGCATCCTTAGCCGAGACTCACGTTCAACCTGGCGCATCGCATCCAGGGCAGCCATCCCGCTGGTGTATGTGGCACGGTAATTCAAATTGCTACGCGATAGAATGGCGGGTGTTCTTGGCATGAAGCTGGAAAGTAAACAAAAAATTCAAGAAAGAACTGAATAAAACCGTATACTTTATTAGTGTAAAATAATGGAGCATAACAACATACCAGTTGCTTATTTTTGAAAAGCCAAGCATGGAACATTTTTTTCTTTTTTATAAAGATTACTGTAACATGATTTGTTTAGCATATATTCTGTCCTCAGACAAGTGTGATTATATATATATAAGATGCGATAATCAAAGCATTCTTATATATCGTACAGTTGGAAGGTTGCTCAGGATTAGGAGAAAACGAATGAACACGTGCGATTAGCAATCTGAATGACGATCTACTATCACAGATGATATCATGGTATCGGGCACAATGACAAAAATCAATCAGGTTAATTGGCCACAAAACGGAACAATAGTGTACCGCAGTAGAATCTGAAAGTGGATAAAAACAGTGAACAAACAGTAGATCAATGATGTTTCAGTTCAGTTTTTACTATCATTAGGTATGCTCCTTCGTGCGCCGATTTTATTTGCTGTCACATGACTGCCCATTTGGATTGAAGAGTAGAAAATTGAAATGTTGAGAGGAGAATCGGAGGGAAGAAACAGAATTCATCTAGAATAAGATTGCAAGGAACATGAGTAGATCCACGAGCGCCACTGCTTGCAACACTAAACCATATCGCTCAGTGTCTATAACCACCGGTTACTATGATCCCGAGGTCCCCATCCAGGGAGTAAAAAAAGACCCATATGACAGTCTCCCGGTCAGGGTTTTTATATCCTCACAGCAGATCTTAGTTTGAGAAACTTGAACATATAGGAGCATTTCGAGACACCCACCTCGACCATACTGAGGTTTTCAGAGGTCAATGGATAGAAGCCAGACAAAGCCTAGTTGCTTGGGTATTTCCTGGCTTTCTTTGAATATCCACTCATGCTCCTGGAGAGGTCAGTCCAGCGAATAAGAATGGGAAGGAGCAGTTGCACGGTCAGAAAACCCTCGCACGACGGACTTGGAAGTGGATACCTGGAGCTTCCTCCCGATGGTGAGCGAAGTCTTTGCACTTCATTGGACAACTGCCGCCCGTCCAAGGTGAGCAGCCCCCACCCAATAAGAGGCTGCCCCGTCCACGTTCTGTCCGTCTTATTGAACGCAAGAAGCTACGAGCCGATCTCGAACAGCGGACAGTCAATCAATGCATCAGTGAACAACACACTGAACCGAAACCAAAGACCTTCTATGACAGGTCTCTATAATCTCCCACACGGGTCCTTCGGTCACGTCAGTGTGTTGGATCTACGTCTCACTGTCTTGTGATTCAGACTTTTGAGTCAAAGGCTCTGGTCAGGATTCCCAAAGAAAAACCCTTTCGTCAGTGTGGGTTATCACGATTTCGCACCCTAAAGTCTTCAACAACCATTTGGAAAACCCTTTCTCTTTTCTGAGAGACATTTGAGTAGTCCAAAACAGCCTCCTAATCCCCAAAGACTATTTTCAAATACATTATGGACCCTTCCGTGGACAGCTTATTCCGATATACCGTAATTCTGGCAAAACACAGTTGCTATGTAATGTGCAAAAAAGGAAACGAATAATGTACTAGTCTAATGCTAGATTAGTCGTTGATAAATAACACAGATAGGATTAGAAGACGCAATGTCTCGTTGGTCGCAGAAACAGTAATTGATTTGTTCATTAAATTTTCGTAATGCAAAAAGTGAAGTGACCATAAAGATCTGAGTACATTCCGTTCGCAAAACGAGCCACCACGTCGAAATATAAACAAGTAGTAGATGGATAGAAAACTCACCGACTGGTGTCGACCAAAGCTGGATTGATACCAGCAGCCAAAAGTTGCTGTTGTTGAAGCGCTTGCATCCGTTGAAGTTGGAACAGATGAGCCTGCTGATAACTCAGACTAAGACGTTTTTCCTGTTCGTAACGCTGCTTGGCCATTCGTTTTTCCACTCGGGTCAGACGGTAATCTTTGCGATCGATTAGCAACGACTCATGAGTAAAAGGTGTCTAAAATTAGATGGGTAAAATCAATAAAACCAATATTTGGAAAATGATCTATCTATGAGCATCAATGACCATTATGGTCTTATATGATTGAAACGTGTACCGTCCAGATGCTTGCATTTCACGCCGAAATGTATTCAAAACATAGCACTCTGAAGGAATTCACACACGGGAAATATAGATTAGAGGTTGGGATATCTAATGGATAAACTCGTTTAGAGCAGCTTCATGAAAGGATGAAAAGCGATCACCAGTGCCGCGAAGTTGAGCATCCAACGAGTAACAGTTCAGTATCACCTAAACGATAACTGGTATGGCTATGTGGTCAATGTTTCAACAATGAAGACTTTACGTTTTACTCTACCTGCAAACAGAAAATGGTACACATATGAAGAGAATTCGTTCAACTGAAAGGAGTGTAAAGAGGTTTTCATTCCCTAAACTAAATAGTAAGACCCTCAGAATATGGTTGATTGCGTAATAAATAGATGCAAAAACGCACCTTTGTGATCCAGCCTTTATGCTTCTCCAAAACCGTCGCTAAGACAGGATCGGGTTTAATCAGATCAGCGCATTTTTCCAGATCGTTGTCTGAAATGCTTTCCAAATCCTTGTCTTCAAACGACATGAGTAGTTCAACTTGCGAACGAGTGAACTGTTGCGATGGATTTAATTCATCTACAACACGATCGGACATGCCTTGTTTGGTAACCTGCAATGAAACAAGATGGTCATCAGCTGGGCAAAAGACTAAACAAAAAGATGCGTTGAGAAGATGCAGCAGCAATGAAGCTCTCAAGTTGTTGTGGTGCAAGATAGACACACGTATCGCTATTTACTTCGGTCGGGTTGTCGTTCATCCAACAGTAGCTGGAATACGGTTTGTTGTATAATATTGCCATGCTCAAGAGAGGCATTCTGAAAATGATAAAAATAGACAAACAAACCCCATCGCCTTTACAATAATTTGATCAGAAAATCCATGAGAGGTACTACTGATATCACGTTGTACTACACTCTAAAGATTCTCTGAAGACACGTACGAAGTTGACTTATTCTCAGAGTGGAAGGAGTCGGCGAAAAGTAAGATGACCATTATGCAACTGAGGGAGCAGAGATAGATTATGTTATATGAATAATGTGTTTGGTACTACAATCCTCTGATTTATCAACCCGCAAATGCATAAACATGAGCTAACAAAACCAGAATTCCAAGACCAGGCATCCAATCGTAATACTCGCGTTGCAATTAACATGTTTCTCCCGACATTGTCGTTAAGCAGTGAATAGGATCATCATTAAAAGTGGCTCACCTGACGATCATATATTTTCTTTTCCATAGTGTTGTCAGAAACCAAACGATAGATATAGCATGGTTTTACCTGACCGTAGCGATAAACCCGACAAACGGCTTGACAATCGTGGCACGGATTCCAAGAGGCATCAAAAACGACCACCCGGTTCGCGCCGATCAGGTTCACACCCAGACAACCGGCACTGAGAGGGGCATGTTGGAGGTCAGGTGGTTAGATGAACACAGATAAAATATAACTCAAAGTAACTGCATTTCATAAATGTACCTAGGTACATCACCATCTTAAATGATGAACCGAAGAACAGTAACAGCTGCTAAGCAAACTTGTAGCTTTGGTTCAGAGTAACAAAGCGCCTCAGCAACCCATGTCTGTTAGAGTAAAGATCAAAATTATGAATCCAAAACTCCGAAAACTGTTCACTGTTTTCACATTTAATTGTTCCATTAGATGGAAAGGCACGGTTACAAAATCATGCAGTTGTCAAATTTACCAAAGGAAATGAAAAGTTCGCGAACAAGATTTTCACCAATCCCACATAATTTGTCACCCAAATCTACTAATGCAATCCCAACACCGGTCCATTCGTTCCCTCATACAAGGTGGAAAAAATGTAATTCTTGTTATTTACTGTTTAACCACCTTTTCGCTGTTTTATATCACAACCCAAACCCAAACCCCATTCTCTGTTACTATTGTTGTTGTTGCGTTGATACCGAATCCCCAGTGCCGGTTTCAGAACATGTTTCGGTTAGCAAGATGAAAGTTGTAGATGAGTTACGCAAGAACCATGATAGTTAAAAAACATTCAATGATAGTTTTGTTGTGGTTTCTATACATCTGTTTTCTTCTAGTTCAACATAATTCCACGGTTGTTGCACGGCTCATTTTTAATGAAATGTTAGGTGGCTAACAGCAGTTCAAGAAATATGCATCGTTGACTGAAAATTTAAAAACGCATTTCTCGCAGAAATACCGTTACGTTTACATTCAGACAATCCCTATAACATCTGGACGCTCCTGATCGATTAATTACCCCTTTGCACATCTATTTGTTTATCTTTCCAAAGGTCCTTGCCACCCATTATATATATATATATATACGTTCCGTTTATTTACTTACATAATTATTACTATTTATTTATTATTTATTCTTATTGAATTCGGCCAGCAACAATGACCTCAAACAAGTTTCAATCGGAAACCGACGGAAACTGATAGGATGTGAACGGAAGATAAAAAGTGGTTTAAAATATCGTGTAACTGGCGGGTTCTTATAACCAATACAGGGGGATACGGGGTCTGAAAACTCATCACGGACAAGCGATTCCAGTAACCTAGCATGTGCAAACTTTAACTGCTAGAATATACTTATACCTGTATTTTGCAGCTGCGTGTGCACTATGCACCATGACAACAAATGAGACAACAATGGGATAACTACAATGTGAACTGTACGTCAATTTTGGTTCTCAGCTTTGTGCTAGGTGGCCCTTGAGCTATGCATGCCCCATTACCACCTGCAAGTCAATGGGTATTTCCACCTCACTGAGGTCATATAAGACTACGCAGATGTGGGTTTCGAACCCGATTTCTGTGCTCAACCAACTCTACAACAGTATGCTGGGACATCAAAGAACAGCACTAAAGTCAAAGCAAAACGGTCCGTGGTAGAGGGGGAAATTACTGCACCACGGGCTTACCGAGTGGAAACGAGGAAAAGCTTTGCCGGATTTTTCGGATCATTGAAATGATTGATGAGTTTCTCACGTTCACTCGCGGTGGTACTACCATCCAAGCCTAGAAAACAGTGGAAGAACCGATGAGATACGTGTGTAAATGCACTTGCATTCATACAACACGAAATGGTCATCAAGACAAGAACAACCGGTGGCGTTGCATGCAGAGACACGATGTGGTCGAACAGTTGGAAAGATAAAAGGACAGCTGCATGTGCGGTTTACGATGAAAAAAATTGAAACGTGAATGTGTATCAGAGGGTAACCGAACTGACGGTAAGGAGAATAAGTGATAACATATCCAAATATATAATTCATTATGCACGTTACAACTGCCAATAATTAACTTTGTAGTGTTTTGCGATAGCAAACCAACATACGAAAATACAACCAAAGAGCGTAAACTGAAGAGTGGGATCGCAACTCACGAAAATAATGAACATTCTTCGTCCAAACCGTCGGCTGGTTCAAACTGCCCAGTCTGGAGGCTAAACGATAGTGCAATGATCGTAAAGTTTCCTCCCCTTCGAATTCGAGCAAGGGGTTGGTTGCATGATTTGGTACATCTTTGTTTTCCTCCGACCCAGTGTTGGGAGTTACTATCTCACATTTATCGGAAATAATCGATGTGCTGTTCATTACGTGCGACTCATCTAAAGTACCCTCAGCCAATCCATCTTCAGTGGGTGGAAAAGTGACTGTCGGCGGTTCGCATTCCAATATTTGTGGCGCTTCCGGTGTGTTCATAGTATCACGATCTGAAGTATTCTGGCTGATGCCCGCCGGCTGCAAGATTGGTGCGGTGAGGTTACTTTGTTCTTCTAACGACGAGTTAGCGCTACTTCGATTTTTTTCGTCAGTCAGTTCGGTTTTTGGAAGAGGAAGCTGACGAAGTATTCGCTCCAGTAGATCCAAAGTAAATAAACTTTGGGTGAACACCAACAATTTGTCACCGGCCATCACACAGCCTTCCAACAAGCTGAGGAAAATCATGATCTTTCCACTGTGTTCGACATTACCGGGTTTAAATTCAGGCCCCCACAACTCCGAGTCCGAGGCCCAATCGTATGTTCCGACGTTGCTGGCCTGCGAGGAGTTATGACTGTACATTGAGGCCGGCAGTGATGGAGGCGACGTGAGTCCAGGATTCGAAACTGAGGGCACGGTCAGGTTTTGGACTTCTTGGTTTTGCTACAACCAAAAATAGTATGAAATTTGAAAAATATCTGTCACCAAAGCTTGAACCTTAGAAACTGAAATTCACTACAGCAATGGAGGCAGACAGGATGCGGTATCTAAGAGGCACAAAATGACAAAGTTAAAAGAGACAATATGAAAGCCGCTGAACAAAGCTTTAGGTGAAACAGATGTAACCCGACTAGGTAAATCATATTAGTTTTCAAAACCGTGTACAATGAACATACCGCGTTAGGGAAAGGAAAATTAACCCCCGCAGTAGTGGCCTGGGATTGCCATGCGTTTGTATTAGCAGTAGGTTGCGTACCACCAGAGAACGCAGTAGAAGCGCCAGTGTGCATATTCAAATTGGGAAACACAGTTTGGTTTGCGTTAGCAGTCGACATATTGGTAGTCGTCGTACTACGATGCATCCCTTTGGCAGCCATGGCACCAGAAGCTGAAGGATCTTCTATGTCAAAATCCATTGCTTCTTTGTGCTCTTCCATTGCACGCCAGAGGATGTCCGGGTGGTTCCATATCTGAGATGAATTGAACAAACTAAGTCAATTGCATTGTGGAACACACATCTATCTAGACATACGATGAGAGATTACCGGTAAAAACGAATGCATTTTTATCTGAATCACAATAACACTGTTTTGTATAGTTGGTGTGATAAAACTATCATCGACTTTTACAGACAGTGCATCAAAGAACAGAATTACATTCGTATTTTACCGTCCTCACAGAAACACTACAAAAACGCAAAGTGAAAGTACCGGAGAGGAGATTTCATAAACTATAATTTGGTGAATTGGTGAAATAATAATAATAATAATAATAATAATAATAATAATAATAATAATAATAATAATAATGGTGAAGTACGGTGCATAAGGAAGTGAAATATGCGTACCGTATTATGCTTGAAAGAAACAGTGAAACGGAAACGGCTATTGCTGCTGCTTGAAATCCATCGGGGTACGAAAAAAGCGTGACAGGAGCAGCGAAAACTCTGGCAATAGCGTGAAATGTATGCACTCTCCGGATATTGAAGGTATTAGCCACGACGAATGTGATAATGTGGAATCAAATATGATACCACTACATGAGAACATGCTACATCTGTTTCCTCCACCANTGCTTCCATTTATTAGATCGATTGAGCAATCGACCGAATGATGAAGCTGACTGAGTAACCTAGTCACCGCTAGAAAATGAATCATCGTAAATTGGCTTCCCTATTTCCTTATTTACCCAGGCGGCCTTTGTATGGCCACAGCCCCCTCCCTGAAATTTGACTTTACATTGGTATATTCAATGAATAAAAAGGAAGTCAAAAGAAATTTACGTTTACATGTATAACACGAACAAAAAATGTGCGTTGATCGAAATCGTAACTTTTCGATACTTAGCGAAATACGAGATCGGAGTCAATACCACAACTATAGTCTTTGGTTTCAATTCAGTCGATGCAACAACCGACCATTAGCTACGTACGAANGAATTCTATGTGGATAAACTCACTTTGAGGAAGTATACCGAGCAATGGTTCACACATCGCTGGTTGTAAGCCCCTTCACTTCGAAAGAGAAATGTAAAAAATATTACTTTTCGACAAACGGATAGGAAACACAGGGAGACTGTCCCGCTTGAAAAAAACCATCGCGGATACCGTTCGGGCCAAATTGATCGAGCTAAGTTGGACAGGATTGTTTCAGAAGAAAATGGAATTGCTTTCTCGAATAGCGTCTAAGCAGGAAAATCATTAGTGCATTAGAATAGTTCTGTGATAGATTATCACAAGACTCAAAGCATCACGGTTACCGAAGTTAACAACTTATCAAAGCATATCACCTGTTTTTATGGTAACCGTTAACTGACTGGATCGGTTTGCTTGATAAATTAGTGCACAGTATACGGACTAACCTTACAACACATGGCATAAGTCTTCAGTGTATTCACTTGGGCCCAACCCAAAGGTCCGATTGAATTCAAACTGCGCATGAAAGCAGCATACAAAGTGCGTTGCAAGGGAGACAACTTGATCAGAAGTACAATCTCGGTTTTCGGAGGCAGACTGGCTTTGAGTACCGCATGAGAGCGTCGCTGAACGAACCCAGATAGAAGATCATGGAGCACGTGGGCACGACCTTGCATTATCTTCCGATCTTCAGGTGTACTGTCAATACACTGTCCATTCTCAATGGGACGTTGGAACATGTTGGTGAACTCTTGCTTTGTGCCCAGATAATTTGGTCGAACAAAATCTACCATACACCAATATTCCATCAGGTTGTTTTGTAACGGATAACCGGTGAGAACAACACGGCGCCTGCAAAAGGGATGCACAGCACTTTCGTCACGCATGAACTAAGAGAACAGTCGCGGAGTTATACAACTAGTGAAAGTACGATTCTCACTCTTGGAATCGAATAAGCGTCACTTACCGTGTGCGGATAGCCTTTAAGGCTTTGGAAATAGAGGCCTCGCTATTTTTGATCCGATGCCCTTCATCACAGATCACCAACTGCGGACCAGGGTCGAGGAGTGCCGTATGAAAATCTGAAAAACAGTTAGTTCATCATTGCGGGTGTTCCAAACGTATTTATCAAACACGTTATGCAGTATGTGTACGAATCAATCCGCGTATCAGAATGATTCTCTTGAACAAGTGAATACTGATACCTCAAAAATACACCTGCAATATTTTGTTCGTTTACGAGGGATTTTCGAAAGTTGGTCATAGCTTAACGAGAAAATCGGCTTACCAGCCAACATCTTTTCTTTCTTCTCTTCTTTTTCCAAATCAACGCACAAAGCTTTCTTCCTTCTCTTACCCCGAACCTCAGTCTTTAACAAAGTCGGGGCAGGAGGTGTTCGTTTTTGATTGAGAAGAAGACGGAACATTTCGTAACCCAACAGTAGAACACCACCTTCAGTGAACCACTGACAAATTATCTGAAAGGAACACAATCAGATAGTAAACCAGATTCAGCGTCAGAGCAAAAAAATGAATCATTACCATACACATCACAGCACAATGCAGAAAACAGGGAGTGGTTTCGCAGACCGAGGTGAGTAGTGCCTAGTTATAAAAATTGGAAATTTAAGTATTGCGGTCTGTGCACTGAAAATGGCTCTATTGCTGGTTGTAAGCTTGGAAGAATATCACGATGAACACAAAACTGAGAAATTGTCATTTTGTGTTTTACTTCAGTGTATGCATTTTCCTATCTGAGGTTTGTATATGTCGCGCCATTAGGTGTCCAGTACCCCTGTGGAACTCCCTTATATC